TGCCATCCATGGTGCTCAGCGGGTGAAATCCATTTGTAAATGTACCTTTTTAAAACTCATGACTGGACTCTTTTAGAGGCACAGAAAGACACGTAATACTCTTTATATTATGCATTTAAATATTTGTAAACAATTTTATAATTCAAGGAAATTAATTTATATGTAGGCCTATAGATTTGATTAATTATACATGTACACTGCGACAGAAATTTGAGGCATTTCGCTGTGCGCACTGGGCGACCAACTATCAGAAAGCGGCTCAAAGTGCATGCCAACAGCCAAGTTTAAGTGCCAAAGTATGATTAATCTTACATAAAAACCTAACTAATGAAAAAAGGTGTGTTACATCAGTAAAGCAGCAAACATGCCACAGAGGCCTTGAAGAAGTGGAGCCTTTACAAGTTAATAGGCTGGTTTTAAAAAGACCCTATAAGAGTTGGAAGCACATTCTGCAAGACGCCTGAAAGAAGATATAGGAAGGAACATAACCGCAACCTTCTGTGAGACAAATGGGCGCCATTTTGTAGTCCAATAATCAGTTACCGGTACTTGAGCCATAATTAGAATAAGTAACAACAGCTGATTTGAAAAAGATGTCTAAGATCTTTGATGAGAAACAAATCTGCCACAGCATTTGCAGATTTCTTAAAGTGGTTTTAAGACACAAGAGTGGTAAACTTTCTTAAGTGTTCATAAGTCACAAGTTACGACATGCCTCTGCTTGCTGACTCACACTGACATTTGTCACGTAGACACATTTGCCAGAAGGTGAAGGAAGATCTTATTAGTGTTTTCCCATGTAACTATGCAGAAGCCATATTGATCAGTTATGTCTGAAGAAAGATGACTCCCTGGCCCTCTTTGGATGTTTCTAAAGTTTCAATCTAAACAAAAAGTGAGATAAAAGGAATTTGTCCCTGCAGCGAGGTCTGTAAAATGTTCATAAGTCTGGTTGACCGCCGCCCCCTGCTGTGCACAGTCTAAAGGCCGCGGGCCACTGAAATACCTGAGATTATAGATTATTCTGGTTCTCCTTACTGCAGGAATGTCCAGCATGTGTTACTCATCGTCAACCAAAAAAGTGGAGCAACTCCTCAAGACCCCCACAATATATTCTCTGAAGAAAAGCACAGTCTGCTTTAGCTTATTGGGATTTGTCCTATATGTTGCTACAGACACTGAGTTTGTAAAACTACATATGCAACGGCCTTTATCAGTGGGCCATAGGCTTCATTACTGTTGTGATTCAGCGAAAACAATATGATCGCAGACGGTAAGATAAACAGTCAAAGGGTATGAAAAGGACACATTTGCAATAGCTGTGAAACATTCATGCATTCACACACGTCCTAAAAGCTTTACCTCCATGCCAAGCTGCTGGTCACGACTAAAAAAGACAAAAAACAAAGACGATTAAGTTTACAGTCATGCTAGAAGCTCTGCGAGGCTGTAATAGACAGTGGTGCTTTAAGCTAAATGCTAAAGTCCTCATGCTAACATGCTAGTAAACATAAAGTGGCTTTCATTTTGAAACTGAATCTTGCATATATTTAATTGTATCTTTGTGATCAGGTCCATTTTAATTTCAGAAGGATTCACTGCCTAAAACAGAACTGCAGAACACATCACAAACTTCAGATTAAACAGTTTTTAAAGTAAATATACTGTTCTTTTTCTACCTTTTCACATGTGAGCTTGCAATTAAGTAAAACGACACTACAAAGCGTGACAACATGTAGAGAACAAAGATTAGGTGTAGCTTCAGGCTTATCGCTGGGAAACACCCGAACATTAACTTAAATTAAAAAAAGACAAATGGATCTCTGCTTTCATGTAGAGGCTGTATACTCCTCCTATTTTTTGTAACCACGGAAACTGAAAAAAGAGGCCAGCCTGTGCTTTTGAGCATCATAACGAAGAATATTTAAGAATTGATTGTGGCATCGCTCATGTGCAGAGCCAAGCAGCTGATGCGTGTATCCCTCCTGGTAATCTGAAGCATGATATCATGTGCATCTTCCTCGTCCTTCGTTCATCTCCGCTCATTTCACCCACTTACTCACAGCTGATCGCACACGGCTCCACTGTACGAGTGTGACTGGCTGCAGGCCACCGCATACCCACGCTACTGGAGCAGTTCAGAGGAGAAGCTCAAATGTTCTCTTCTTTTTCTCTGCAGGAATATGTGCACCTCAAACAGACGAGGGAAGGAGAAGGAGTCGCTATCTGTGCCTTTTTTGTTTTTAAATCGAGGCTGTCCTTCACTCCAACAACTCTCACGCTCTCTGGCTGACTCCCAGCTCCCCCTCACCCCTGGCCCCTAATGGCTGACACACAGCAGTTCTTCACTGGCAAGCTTTATGTTCCTGTACACATGCTAAAGCTGCCAGCTGAAGAACTGCTCTGGTCTGCCCTGCCCCGGATGAATCGAGAAGAGGAAGCGGACGGGGGTTGCTGGGAAGAGGACAGAGGAAGGCGGTGTTTCTGTTTCACACGCTCAGCAGGCAGACTGGACGTAATAACTATAGAGATTTTATCCAACATTGTTTATAATCCTGTGTTTATCACATGTTTTATTTCAATTTACGTAATATAGAATGTTTATTTTCCATATTTCTTCCTAGAAAAACCGGACAAAATATAACCAACAGTGTTTATAGTCTGTTTATATTTGTACATGTAATTGTGTATTGTCTGTATTTTACATAAGACAATACAGAATTATTCACTTTTAGTCTTTTTTTTTTCAAAAACCTGCCCATATTGTGTATGATGTGCGTGTTTTTAAATAAAGGAATATTTTCTCAGACTTAAGTTCGATTGTTGTCTTCACTACTGCACACTATGAACAACGCATACCAGCACTCAAGGCTCTCCTGTCATAAATAACCCACACAAACTCAAATGGAACCAATTAATGTACAAATTTGTCACACTATTCCTTTTAACTTTTAGTCCCTGGTGATCCCATTAAAGCAGAGCAAGACAAGTCAAGAGTAAATTGAATTGCTCTTTAAATGTAAAAACCGTCCTAAGATTTTCTATAACTTCTGAAAGTGGTGTTGATCCTCACTTTACACATTAGATTCTCATGTCAACAAGCTGAGATTTTAAGACTTAATGAATTCATTTAGATTGTTTTTACATATTAAATGTGAGACCAGAGAGAATAATTATTCTATACAGTAACTGCTGTCCTCCATCACCCTTTGCTTCAAGGGATTCCTTCTTAAACTACAATCTTTGACGGACAGGAGGTAAGGAGAGTAAATAATATTCAGAACTGCAAAGATTCTGAGTAAATGTATTTCATATCAGCACCAGGTTAATATACTAAGGTTAATATAGTAAACTACATTGGTTTAATTAAAATATCTTTTTTGTTTAAATTCTCTGTCCTGTCAATAAAACACCATCCTTTGTTAAATGTAGTGCTTGTAATTTTAAAAAGTGCACAGAATCCAGAAAGGTTCTTGACAGATTTGATGGAGCTTTTGTTGGTTTGCACTAATACAAATCTAAATTAATTTCATCAGTCAGAAGTATAAATATTAAATTTAGACGGATTATTAGGAAATTACAATGACAGATATTTGTTCATTAGGAAAGATTATCTGAAATTGGAGTGTTGAGGCACATTTAAACTATAGTGTCTTGGTGGAGTTTCCCTACATCACCACTAGATGGCATGATAATTCGCAAAACTGAAGATAAAACATGATAGGTACAGTTATGGTGTAGAGATAAACACTACATTGAATAGGTTTTGGAACATGTGTTCAGATTGTGTGTTAATAAGGTACTTAACTATTATCAGTATAAAAGAGTGTTCATTATTAAGAATATACGGATTGCTATTAGCTGGCAATACATCACTTGATATATCATTGAAACTGATACATTAATATGTAGCTTCAATTATGTTGGGTAATTAAATAACCTAAGTTTAATCGATTTATAATGTTGGAATAACTAAATGTATTGACTTAACTCAAATGTACACATGTTTAGTTAATTATATTACAACTACTTTTTAATTCATACTTCACAAAATGTGAGAGGTAAATATATTTTTATTATATGTTTTACTACATTAAGTTACTAATTCCTTTACAGAATAATACACAGACATTCACTTTGATAAACGAAGTATATTTGGCTAGTATATTCCTTTTGAAATGCAGGACTTGAAATGTTCTCTCAGTGCTGCTTCTCCTCCACTGATATTGAAATCTTTATCTAAAAAAGAGCTGAGAGATACATTTAGTGAAGAAACAGTAGGTAAGAAAGAAGGATTACACATAAAGTAAGAGTATGAGGTTAACCAATACATTGTGGTCATGTGTGGGGGTCGTTAACATCAACAGAAAGGAGGGTCCATTTGAAATGCCTGAGACAAGTTAAACGAAGTCAATTGGCAGAATAGACCTTAACATGAGGACCTGAGTCAGCAGGGCGTGCTTGTGTTTCACACCTCACTCTCTGTTCATCTCGCTCTGCCTCTGCGCCGCGTCCCGCATGCTGATCCAGCTCAAGCTCGCTTCGCGCGTAAATGGAAAGCTTTTACGCACCGCGCGTGTTCTCTTCAAACGATGTTTAATTGATGTTTTTGCATTGTCACAAGCCTCGCCTGGAGCATAAGTAGGCCTCAGACACTCGGGGTGCGCTGTGGAGATGTAAGGGATGCGGTAATACCTCACTACATAATCTAAAAGAGGAGGGGGGGTAAAAAAGCAAGGCGCGCCTCCGGACGCTCACCGCCAACTAAACGTGAGAGGGACTCGGACAACTATAACATCTCGCTCTGCAATAAGAATTCTTGATGGAGTTAGACTGCTTCATTAAGTAGGTTGCCTTAAATATATTAGACTTTATCATGTTGTAATATTTAATCTAATGAGCCCCAATGGAGAATATTTGAAGGACGACTCCTCAGCATCTCCAGCCACAGGACAGCGCCTCGGTCAGACAAAGACTTGGAGACTTATTATCTTTCAGTGATGGCTATCAACACGGACGCAGCCTTTGGGAAAAGCGCCCTTGGTGAGAGGGAAGTTTCCAATCCCACCGACTTCCAGGACACGGAGAAGCTCCTGAGCACCGGGAACACCGAGCCCTCCGGGCAGAGCAACATCAAACCGTCCGACTCCTTCTCCCTCAACATCAGAGGCAGCATCCGGTCCCTGGATGCGGACCAGAACGGGCACAGATCCCCGCTGAAGTCGGGCTCCATCGGGCATCTGGTGGCCCCTCCCAGGTCCCTGTCCCGGCTCAGCCTGGGCCCGCTGCCCTCCTCGGTGCCGCCCGGGTCCGCACCCCCGACCTACCTCTGGCTCGCCGTGCTGTCCTGTTTCTGCCCCGCCCCGCCGCTCAACATATGTGCCTTGTGGTATGCACATGTGGTGAGTGACATTTACAATTTACTTCAAAATATCACAATGTAGAGGAATATATGTCTGTGTTGCAGATGTTTGGGTTTATTCCTTATTCAGTTTCCAACACAAGTGATTTTTCCTTCTGTTGAGTTTAAATAATTCATTACTCTCTTCCTTTCCTTTTCCATTAGTCGAAGTCTGTTCTCCATACAGGAGATATAGAAGGAGCAAGGAAGTATGGGCGCCTGTCTATGCTGCTCAGCTGTCTGGCGATGCTGCTGGGTGTGGCTGTCATCCTCCTCATAGCGTTTACAATAGGTATGGAAGAAATACATTATTCAAAAGGCTGTAAATGAATGTAAAATGTAAATGTCTTAATTTCTTATTTTCTCTGATTCTCAGAGCTCCAGAATTAAACTGTGGGATGGACGGAGTCACATTTAACTTAATCTGATCTCACATTTGCACAGAAGAGTGGAGGAGGAGGAACGTTTTGAAAAAATTGAAAAAGCACAAAATCTGTTGAAAACAAGCTGAAGAGACTCTTATGTAAAACATATTGCTTTTTCTGCTATGGACGAGAGAAAGAAGAAGGAAAGAAGTCGCAGGCTGTTTCTCTTTTTCCGGCAACACTCATGTCTCATAAGTAACACACAAACTCAGGAAAACGAGCGCTGCACACAGTTAGTGTTGTCGGATCATCAGACTGCACATGCTGTGGAGAAAGTGTAACTGCTCCTGGTCCAAACTACTGGTGCACTGAAGTACTTTATAACTGCATTTGCTTATTAAAAAAAGGAATTGTTAAATAAGACTAAAGAATAAGAAGAAGATGCCATCATCATTAACAAAAGTAACACATAAGAGTTGTATGCAATGTAAAGATAAAAAAAAACACAGCCTCTTGAGGTCAAAACAAAAGGCATCGGTGCACCTCTAGTTTGTAACTGCCTGCCCTGTTTCTCTTAACATTTGCAACAAAGTACGGACCAACTGTGGGAGGATGTATATACTGATTTCATACACTGTTTACATGCAACTAATGTACGTTAACGCCCTGCTGCAGCCATAGTGTGATACCTTGCTTTGCGTGCTACTATGATAAACTGATGCCTACACTTCGTTACGTTTACAATATACTGCAAGATATGAATGGGGCTGCTCTCCCTGTATGCACTGTTATTGGCACTCTGATGTTGATGTTTATACATTTATACTGTATGACTGGTTAACTGTGCATGTCGGAAATAAACTTGAATGAGCATGACAAACTTGAAAGTGAGCTCATCACCTTTATTTTACAAGTGCCGCCAATACTTTATAAAGAAGTATGACGTTAACAGTACACAAGGTAAAATAGGACTTACATTTATAAAGAGTTAAAATTACAACAGGATATAAGCAGCAATATATATCTTCCAAGATGGAACTTTTTTCATAATTTCAAAAATAAATAAACTCTGAACTGAGAGTTGCACAATTTCAATTAAGACTTGTTAAACTGATGCTTAAGCGTAGGAAATAGCAATATGAAAACATTTAAAATGCCTCAAAATGCAATGAATCTTTTTTTTCTTTAAGAAGGCGATGGTCCGTCAGCAGATCAGTGAATCAGTGGAAAGTGTAGAGCAACAGGAGGATGGTGCAGACGCCGATCACCCCACCTAGAATTAAAGAGTCCCGCCTCTTGCGCAAATTTATTTTCTGGATGAGACTGTTGATGGTGGGGAAGCGATCTGAGGGGCGGGGAAGTGTGGTGAAGGAAAATAATTAAGTTCAAACTCAGCCTGTCCTTTCTCGCAGTAAGTTAGAGACAGTAAAGCAGCAGGGGAAAACAACAGCGGTGATCCCAACACAAAAAGGAGTAAATGGAGCTTAATGGTGTGAGTCATATCAGCTTAAGATAGAAAACTAAGTAAACAACGTCAGGTGAAAGAAAACTAAGACACGTGATCGAAATGATTAAAGGATACTGGCCAAAGTTGTGACCCTGGTTTGAATGGACTTAAACATCCCACGCTGAAATGTGATGTTCTCTTTGGTAGCCATGGCGATACTGGTAGGAAGAAGAAGAAACCATGAGGGATTAGTTGATTGGAAAAGATGCACACATCCGTCTTCACAGCATCACTGAGTAATGTTTCAGCTCAGCTAAAAAGAAGGCAGGCAGGATTGGTCTGCTCTAATAGACCTGAATATATATATGTGTGTGTGTGTGTGTGTGTGTGTGTGTGTGTGTGTGTGTGTGTGTGTGTGACTAAATTGAGTGAGTGAATGAAGAAAGAGAAGGGAGGAACAATAAATCTTACCTTATTGCATTGTCAATAAGACTATCTGAGCTGTAAACAGAAAAAAAGAAGAGATCAAAAAGAGAAAAGTCAGATCAAATCGACTCAAAAAAGGTTATTTTATAGTTATACACATGCGAGAACCATACCTAAAACCATATAAATACTTCCACAATTACATGAATCCTTTGCCGTCCATCACTTTAAAACAAAACATTCTTTATATATTATATAAACTGTATATCTCCTGGTTTTAGAGTCAGGAAATTATACAACAGGATGCAGGGAAAGCCCGTGCTATGAAACCACACAGCTCTTAGAGTCTATTATCATAAAAGGAGCACTTCCTGCAAATCCTGCGAGACTGGGAGAAAAGTGCTGGTTAATGGAGGGTTTTTGGGAAAGTCAGAATGTGATTGGTAAAATACAAGCTTCCATCCAAGCAGAAGCCAATTCATCTCAATGATATAACAACGTTTGCATTCATTAGCATGGTGTCTCACAGTTAACAACAAAGTTGGAGAAGAATTTAGATTTCCGTGTAGTAAACTACAAAAATGGACATGTAAGTAAACTTGACTAAATGAGAATAATAAAAGGGATGAACAGAGCCCACAGCACAGGCTGACTCTGAATGATTACTGTATATCCACAAACCCTCTCTGAATTACCTTCAACCCATCAGAGAAATAAACTCAATGATGACATATTAAAAGTGCAATGAACACATAGACGGTAACCTGATCTGGTGTTATTTGTTTTAGGTGCACACAGCGGAGCGGACACTGAACCCACACAGGAGGTTTACATCAGCGGCCATTAGCTGCTGGGATAAGTGACGGGGAGAAAAATGAAGTGTTCAGTCAGAGCCGAGCCGACCATATAAGGTCAGCGGCGTGCATCCTGGCCGACTCCACTGGAGACCGAAAATCAATACTGCGCTTCATACTTCCTCCTCATCTATCCGTCCATCTCTCCCACTATCTGTCTGATGCTCTCCTACGCTTTCTATTCTCTGCAGGTTGCCTTCTTCGGGCTCCTCTATCTTCTCTTTCTTTACAAGCGACTACTGATCTACATGAAACTACTTCACAAAGTGGTCCGATCACCGGTTGTGCTTCAGACGTCTACCTGTCCGAGTGTGACAGTAGGCTGGAGGCTTGTCTTTGTTGTTCTGTACATAACAGCAAGGCAGCAGATTTTCAAACAAAATAATCTACTAAATGCATTTACAATAAATCGACAAAACAAAACCTGTACGTCATAAAACATTTATCTTAATAACTGTACATCAACAAATTATCTTAAATAAAATAACAATCTATTGAAATTGATTGTTCTTGATCGCCTGGTAGCTCTGACAAAAATTACATTTAGGTGGGAAACCCTTCTGTCCTGAGGGTTTAAACTTTTAGTTTTTGATATTTAGTCAAGACTATTATAATTATTTAACTGATAACACACCAGCACAACAAAACATATATTTCTGTTGTTGGCAATCAGGGACAGATAGGTGTTGAGACTGAGTACGATGTTGAAGCAACGTTTAATTAGGACAGCAGGGCAATATGATTAAATTCACATTTGCTATTTTTTAGCAAATACCAGAATATCCATATCAGGTAGTTGACCATTAATGCTTTCCAGGAATATTTTCCCAATAAGAATTTTGAAAAGTAATCAAAATGTGGATTTAATGACAAAGCGGGTAAAGGGAAATGATAGAACAGTCCGGTGATTACAGAAAAAGACACCACTTCACTGAAATGCTGCCTTTAAAACCGGGAAACAAAAGACAAGGGATACTCTGATATCCAAAATCTAAAGACAACATCAAGTCTCATATCACAAAATCAATATATTATTGATATACTGCACAAACCTTGGTTCAATTTCTGCACACAAGTCTTTTCACTGCACATGAATCTGAGTATATAAAGTTAAGTTTCTGAAGGGTTTCATAACGTCCTCTTCTCTGGTGTCTTTCCTCTCCAGGTGATATCTGAGAAAATCTCTCTCTGGGTGAAAAATGTGTGTTTCTGGAACAAACTGAGCACATTGGAGAAAGGAACGACTACACGGTGACAGCAGGGTTATCTTTCTCTCAGGCTGTGGCCAGTGGGTTGTTTCTTTTGAAATCATTACTCATGTTTCAGAGGTTATTACAGCACATATCTGAGCTTGATTTACTGTTTTCAATCTCTTTAAATCCTGGTATTTCAACAGGACCAATCGCAGCCAAATGCAGTTTGGCACTGTCAGTAATGAGTTGGTACCAACTCAGGATGGGTTCAGGGAACAGCGTTAACATTAGCCGAGGTAAGAGCACAGACTTACTGGTCACACAGGACTCCGTTTTAATGTGTCCTGTGAGTCTGCTGATATTTACTGTTAATGCCTCAGCTGTTTATGATCAATGTTATTGTTCTTTTCCCTATTCTATCTTTCTCTCCTTCCTTTTTCAATTCTTTTTTTCTCTTATGGAACTACTCTTTAACAGATCATGAACCACACAGCTAAAATGTAGGCTTTTTATGAATTTGATATTAAAGAAAGTGTCTTTGCATCACCTTTTCTCTTTGTTTTAAGATGAGTGCTGGGAAGGATACTTTGAGCAAAGATACTTTTGTTTGAGCTTCCATTTTAAACTTTTTTTTGTGCACAAAATGCCAATTTCTCTCAAATATTGAGCACACATTGGGTAAAATCAACATACGATAGTATTTGGCAACTTAATCCATCCACCTGACATGTGGGATACCAACATGCTTAGTAAACAGCATGATTAATACACAGGTGTGCCCCGGGCTTGTGACAATATAAGCCCACTCTAAAATATGCAGTTGTATCACACAATACAATGCCCCACATGTCCAGTTTTGGGTAATCATACTCCAAATTCAAACACTTAAATAAAATGGCGGCTACTGTAATAATGAAGGAGGGACAATACATTTATAATGATAAATTCGATTTTTATAGGGATTTTCTGGGACACAAAGTCGCTTATATATATGATCTTGGCTGTAGCCCTCGGCTAAGTTAAAATGTTTTTTAAAGAAATCTCTTACTTTCGGAGATGTTCATGTTCCTTCAGGAAGAGCTCAGTCCTCCTGTTATTCACTCCTGTGCTGCTCTTGTAGGACCTGAGAAAGTAAATAGGGAGAGAGAGACGTTGAATGATGATTAAATGATTTTTTTAAAGTTAAGGCGACACCAAAGTTATGATAATTAATCCTGAGGGGGTCAATGAGGGAGTGTAGATAATTGCATGGCAATCTATCCAAAGGATGTTAAGAAAGGTTGCTTGAAACGTTGGTCTGAAAACAGAACGACATCAACAAGTTGATCAATATAAATCCAGTTCACACAAAGCAGGCAAGAGTCTTTATATCATATTACTCAAATGTGAAGGGTTTTATTCATTTTACCCATTAAGCAGCTTGA